AGCTCTCCGTAGAGAATTTGAAACTCTTAAGATGAGGTTCGGGAAGGAGTGACAGAGTACTTCTCTCAGGTCATGACAGTGGCCAACAAGATGCGAATTTATGGAGAAGATATGCAAGATGTTAAAGTGGTGGAGAAAATTCTACGCTCTTTAACTGAGAAGTTCAATTATATTGTATGTTCTATTAAGGAGTCAAAGGACATTGATGCTCTTACTATTGATGAGTTACAAAGCTCATTGATAGTGCATGAACAGAAGTTTTAGAGACACAATGGTGAGGACCAGGCTTTGAAAGTGACATTTGAAGGAGGAAGAGGTCATGGTCGTGGTACCTACAGAGGAAAAGAAAGAGGAAGAGGGAGAGGTCGAGTAGACTTCAACAAGGCAATTGTGGAGTGTTACCGATGCCATCAACTTGGGCATTTTCGGTATGAATGTCTTTCTGGGAACAAAAAAGCAAATTATGCAGAGCTTTATGAGGAAGAAGAAATGCTTTTGATGTCTTATGAGGAGTTGTATGAGGCCAAAAGAGAAGAGGCATGGTTCCTTGATTCAGGGTGTTCTAATCACATGTGCGGCAATCGAACTATGTTCAATGAACTTGATGAAAAATTTCGACATTCGGTAAAATTGGAGAACAACACTAAGATGAATGTGATAGGAAAGGGAAGTGTGAACCTGTTGCTAAATGGAGTTAATCATGTTGTTGCTGAGGTATACTATATTCCAAAGTTGAGAAATAATCTCTTGAGCATAGGGCAATTGCAAGAAAGAGGCTTGGCTAGTTTGATCAAAGGAGAGATGTGCAAGATATTTCATCCAAAGAGGGGTTTGATAATTCAAACCAACATGAGTGCCAATCGAATGTTTATCTTGCTACCTCAGTCTCAAGCTCCCTCTCAAGTACAATCTGATCAGTGCTATCACACAAGAACTCAAAACATGTTTCATCTTTGGCATCAGAGGTATGGGCATCTGAGTTACAAGGGTTTGAGAACCTTGCTGTATAAGAACATGGTACGTGGACTTCTTCAACTCTCTGCCTCAAGTGTGACATGCATTGATTGCATCAACGAGAAGCAACATCGTGACATTATCCCAAAGAAGAGTACTTGGAGAGCAACTCAGAAGTTGGAACTTATTCATGCAAATAGTTATGGCCTGGTCACTCCTACATCTAATAGCAACAAGAGATACATTTTGTTATTCATTGATGATTATAGTAGAAAAGCATGGGTGTATATCTTGGTAGAGAAGTCTGAGGCTTTAAATTCTTTCAAATGCTTTAAGACTATGGTTGAAAAAGAAACAGGGTTGTTTGTTAAGTGTTTCTGCACTGATAAAGGAGGAGAATTCAATTCAAATGAGTTCAATGATTTTTGCAAACAAAATGGGATCAAGAGGTAGTTGACCACCACTTATAGTCCGCAACAAAACAATATAGCTAAAAGGAAAAATAGAACCTTGATGAACATGGTTCGTTCCATGTTATCTAACAAGAACATTCCCAAGACTTTTTGGTCGGAGGCAGTGAATTAGATTATTTATGTCCCAAATAGGTATCATACATTGGCAATCAAGGATGTTACACCAGAGGAGGCTTGGAGTGGAGTGAAACCTTTAGTAGATCATTTTCGGGTCTTTGGTTGCATAGCACACGTTCATGTTTCAGAAGAAAGGAGTAAACTTGATAATAGAAGCATTCCTTGTGTGCTATTGGGAGTTAGTGAGAAATCAAAAGGTTACAGGCTATTTGATCTTGTTGCTAAGAGAGTTATTGTGAGTAGAGATGTAATTTTTGAAGAAGAAATGCAATGGGCTTAGGATGTGAGTTATGAAAAACAAATAGTAGTAGACTTAGAATGGGGTGATGGTGATGGTGAGAATGAAGAAGAGCTGAGTGAAAATGAGAATGGAGAAAATACTGATGGAGAGGTAGGAGAGACTCGTGATAAGGGTGTTAGAGAAGAGGAAGATGGTTCTAGTGAGGGTGAAGAGAGAGTGAGGGAGTTGAGGCAACCTCCTACGTGGATGGGTGATTATGTTAGTGGTGAAGGTCTATTTGAGGATGAAGTTCATATGGCATTAGTGGTGTCAACTGATCCATTGTATTTTGAGGAAGCTGTGAAGAGTGTGAATTGGAGATTGGCCATGGATAGTGAAATCAAATCCATCGAAAAGAACCAAACATGGACACTCACTAAGCTGCTAGCTAAGGCCAAAAGAATAGGAGTGAAGTGAGTTTACAAAACCAAATACAATGAGCTTGGAAAGATTGATAAGTACAAGGCTCGTTTGGTTGCTAAAGGATACTCTCAGAAGCATGGAATGAACTATACAGAAGTTTTTGCACCAGTAGCAAGGATGGATACAGTAAGGATGATTATCGTTGTAACTGCACAGAAGAATTGGAAGATTTTTTAGCTAGATGTCAAGTCGGCTTTTCTCCATGGTGAGTTGAGTGAAGATGTTTATGGGGAACAGCTAAGAGGATATGAAAAAAAGGGTAGTGAGCATCTGGTTTACAAGTTACACAAAGCCTTGTATGGATTAAAACAAGCTCCACGAGCTTGGTTTAGTAGAATCGAAGCCCATTTCATTGGTGAAGGGTTTCGAAGGTGCGATAGCAAGCATACATTATTCACAAAGAGAAGCAGAGAAGGAAAAATTATCATTGTAAGTGTTTATGTTGAATTTTTACTAGTAATGACGAAGTTATGACGTTTGAATTTAAAAACTCTATGTTAAGAGAGTTTGATAGGTCTGACTTGGGGAAGATGAGGTTTTTTCTTGGGATCGAGGTGCTACAAAAGTCTGATGGTATTTATATATGCCAAAGGAAATATGCATTGGAGGTTTTGAGAAGGTTTGGTATGATGGAAAGTAATTCGGTGGGGAGTCCAATAGTTCCAGGTTTCAAAATGAGCAGAGACGGAAATAGAGACTTTGTTGATGAGACGTACTACAAGCAGCTAATGGGTAGTTTAATGTATCTCACTGCCTCGAGACCTGATATGATGTTTGTTACTTGTCTCATAAGTAGATATATGGCAAAACCAATGGAGATTCATCTACAAGCAGCTAAGAGAGCACTTCGATACTTAAACGGGACTGTGAACTATGGAATTCATTATAAGAAAGGAGGAGATAGTGAGTTGTTGGCATTTACGGATAGCGACTATACCGGAGATTTGGAAGACAGGAAGAGTATATCTGGTTACGTGTTTTTTAATGAGTTCAAGTGTTGTTTCATGGTGTTCAAAAAAGCAGCCTATTGTGACTTTATCAACCACAGAAGCTGAGTTTGTGGCAGATGCAGTATGTGCTTGTCAAGGAGTTTGGATGAAGAGAATTTTAATGGAGTTGGGACATTCTGATGGAGGTTGTACTACTGTGATGTGTGACAACAGTTCAACCATCAAGTTGTCTAAAAATCCAGTTATGCATGGTCGTAGCAAGCATATTGATGTGAGGTTTCATTTCTTAAGGAATCTTACTAAGGAGGGTACAATTGAATTAGTTCATTGTGGGAGTCAGGATCAGGTGGTGGACATAATGACCAAACCATTGAAGCTTGAAGTTTTTCAAAAGCTTCGAAAGCTGCTGGGAGTATGTGAAATTTCTGGTATAAACTAATTGCTTCATATCATTTAGTTTAAAGGAGGGAATGAAGGAGTTTACTACAGTTTTTTGTTAGAATAATGTTCTGGTCTACAGGGAAAGTCCTAGTCTTTACGGACATTTACTTGTATTTGAATTGTTCCAAGTTTCTGTTACCACTTGGCTTTATTTCTGCTAAGTGGGTTGCTTTCTTGTTTCTGTTAAGATTGCGTATTGAATGACTATTTAAGCCAAAGTTATTGTTAATAAAACAAGGTCATTTAATCCAGCTTGTTGTGTTCTTGTTCTTAGTTTCATTTTAGATCAAAGTTCCCAACAACTCCTGTGACTTGTCCCTCGGATTTGAGGTATGACATGATTTGATCAAGTAGATAAGAAAGGAGGGATGATTTGATCATAATAGATAGCAAGGACGGGTGGGAAGACGAGATTAGGATCAGCTCGGTGTCGGCCACCTATTTTAGTGAACCTTGAGAGTTGTCGGTGGTTTATTGAGGTGAAGCTATCGAGGGAGAAACGACAAATGCCTTTTCTTTCGCCCTTGTTTCAACCCTAAGTTAAGGGCACATGGCAATCATTCAAACAAGATTTTGAAATTTGAAATTTTGGTTTTTTGTTTCTGTAAATTGATCATTCTACCCAAGTTTTTGACCATCTTACTACTATTCTTAACCAAATTGATTAACGGAGCTGACATGTGGATGGAAAAATGGTATTTTAAAACTTTATTAAGGCAAACTATGGGTGAGAAGAAGTCTTTTACTCTTTTCTAAAAGGATTATAGCCTTTGTTTGTTTCGCTTTTGGGAATACTATTATTAGTATTCCCAAAAAAGTTAAACAGTAAAATGTCATTATTCCTAAAATATTATTCTATATTTTTCAATTTCTTTTAAACCTCTTAAACTTAAATTTGTTAATTTAACTAAACACCCCCAAATATTTTTTTTAGAAATTACAAAAACACTCTGGCTACCCTTCGACGGTGGTGGCCGGCTGTCTGTATTTAATGGGTGGGTTAAGGGTGTTTTTGTTAACTTTTAATATTTTATTATAGGAGTGTTTAGTAAATAAATAAATATAAGGGATATTTTTATTAATTTCTAAATCCTATATCGTAATACTCATCTAATTTTTTTTTTCAAAATAGTATTCTAAAACTATCAAAATAATGAATCGAAGTACCATAATTAGCTGGTCTCCCTGAATGGATAATAAAAATCCTTACAAATATGAAATATCCTACAGGTGGGCCCTAAAATGCAAAAACTATCTCAAAAAGAGATTTTTTTTTTCTTGGGTCCTCATCCACGTGGCATCCCAAAAGATATTTCTTAAACTCAGTTCTTTATATCCAGTCATTCCTGACTCCCACTCAAAAAATCTCACCACAGCCATTTTAAAATCCTCAAAACCCTCTTCAAAACACAAATTTGTTGGCAAAGCTTTTACTGCTTCAGATATGGAGACTGAAGTCGTGAGACGAAGAGTCCACAAGATTGCAGGCCACTTTGTAGCACCCACAAATGATGATATTATCTCTTCCACCACCCATCTTCTTCCCATGGTATTCTTTTTATTTATTTAAAGCATTGACTTTTGTACTTGAAAAAAGGTTGCACAGTCTAAACAATGGAACAAGTAATAAATTATGCTTTTACGTATATCTTATTTTTTTTCTTTTTTAATGTATCGGATCATCTTTACACGCATAATAGATAAAAATATTATTAACTTGCATATTGTACTTAGAAAGCTCGATTAGATGGGATCATGGAAACTAAAAACAGCCATCATTTAATTCTAGGTCGGGCAGTGTGCTTCGTAAAGCTGAAATTCTTCCATTATTGGGACATTTATAAGTGAAAACTAAGACCCTGGTACTTGTCATCTGAGGTTTTCAGGTGAACCCTCGGAGGAAAACGAGAAAGAAATTAAATGGGAGGAGTTTATGTTCCTATAGAAATAGCAATTAATGCATATATTTACCAATTAAGCTGTTAATTGTTCTTGATGTTGATGTAAATTTAACTTAATGTAAATTCTTTCCCGTTTCTGTACGGTTCAATATTGTTTCCATTTTTTTTTTTTTGTCATTGGAAAATTATTGGTTGAGACTAGTGTATATTCATGACCGTTGATTGATATTCGCATCTTGCTTAATTGTCTCTCTGTTGCTTACTACATACAGTAATTATTGGACAAATGGGCAAAAGGAAGTATAATTTACTAGGGGAGTAGGAATCCAGGCACCACTTATCAGCGGTTTAAATAATAAGATGATTTTACTTTGTCACTCTGGTTGTTTTTGAAAAAAAAAACTATTCAGCATACAATAGATATGTGCCAAGGTTGAGGCCAAATAAATGGAGAAAAAGAATGTAATAATGAACGTATGTTATCTTATCATGTTACACGTGCATATTTTATCATTAACCATTAATCGTTATGGTCTCAGAACTGCAGCGGTTTCAACTCTGTGATTCGAAGGTGTGATAACAGAATGTATTTTGCACGTCAAGCGTCTAGTTCTCAAGGTTGTTTCATGAGGCCAAGTTCAAGTGAACAGGTGCTTATAGTTGATATTTATTGTAGTTCTTGATGTTGTTCAATCAATATTTTGGAAACTGATATTGTGTCGATGCTTGCGTTTTTCAAATATTTGCCAGAGTCCTTGCAATGCTTCTGAAGCACCATTATTTGCTAGGCCTTCTCTACCTCTTAAATGCTCCAGACTCACAGATGAGGGCTCTTGCAATACTTCTGAAGCACCATTATTTTCTAGACCTTCTCTGCCTCTTAAATGCTCTGGATTCATAAATGAGGGCTATTGCATGGCTTCTGAAGCACCAATGTTTTGTAGACCTGCAAGGATGGAACTAAACAATGCAAAATTTTCTAAAATCCAACCTCAGGTGCAAGATTGCAATTTATCCACCTCTGATATTCCTAAGTTTTCTGAACCAGATAGAAGAATTCGTCCAAAAGAGCAATTCTGTTTGAAGAAAAAAACATATTTGTCTGAGTCTAGAGGTAAGTTAATGGTGCTTGAGCAAGTGAGTTTTTGATTAACTTTTTGTAAAAATTTTCACTTTCTCGCTTATCAAGTCTTTTCTCATGGAAGTCTATGATCTAGATGTGTAGCGCAAATGTGGGAAAGGCATGAATTTGGCTTCTTAAAGAGTTGTAAAATTGATTGCTGTGAATTCTTATATATTCAAGCATGTCATAGTTGCATCTCTAGAATCTTTTAGGTGCCTAGCAATGGCAGGGAAGTTATATTGGTTAGGTGTATTTATTTTATTCATCTTTTGGATGTAATTATTTGATATAAAGCAAGGTTAAATGTTTTATTGAAAAAGCTTATTGTCACCTCTTCTAATATTGGAAGTTTAATCAACACATTTTCGAAGATGATCACAAATTTCTGTTAGATTGTGTAACTATAGTTCGTTTTCTTTCTTTTTCATGCAGGAGCCCCAAGGATGGATGTAAGAGAATTGGTACACAATTATGTCATGATCATAGAAATTCCAGGCGTTGGCATCAATGACATTAGAGTGGAAGTCGATGACCAAAAGTAAAGTACTTTCTGAAGATTTGCATCACTAAATTTGTTTCAGATTATTTATATTGCAGTTTGAATAGCAAGAATCTAGATTTGAAGTACACATGCAACTCAGATTTCTGTGCTGGCTGACTCAATTCTTTTTATTTTTCTGAGTCGTGATTTTATTTTCCCATGTTTATTAGTGATCAATGTATTAGAATTATATTTGAATTTTGATTTGATAAGAATGATACTTTTTAACAGCTTAATTGTGATGGCAAAACATTCCGACAAGCATTGGCAAGTAACAGGTAATTCAAATGGCGCATATCACAGGAGAGAATACAGGGAAGAGCCATACCAGGTCGTGTGGCCAATTCCTTCGGATGTGAATAAAGACAGTATATCGGCTGAGTTTCTGTAAGTCATTGGTTCTTGTCACTGCAGTTCATAATTTTATGTTTCTACTTTTCCTTGACAACAAACAAATAATCTCTGAGATAAATATACTTGCATCTACTATACAGCAACTTCTTGTTTTTGCCTCTAAGAAAGTGATAATATTTTGTCTCCAAAATCTCAGTTTTAGGCAAAGTTCATAAAATCACTACTAATATTTTGATTATGCATATGATGACACCATTAACATGAGAAATTAAGTTGTTTAATTTTTATATAAATCCTTGTCGCTTCCATTTTAGGTTGGGTTGGATATTTTCTTAGAGTTTTGCTCCCTAGAGATTGTCGATAGGTAGGAGTTTTCCTAGAATGTACATGGTGTCTGAGATAGTTGGTTCCAAACCGAAAATGATGTTCCATGCCTTGTATTTGCACAATTTAGTTTTATAATCCTTAAGTTTCGAAGTAGGATGTTGATATAAATCGATGGTGGTGCTGTTGTGAATTTTTAATGGCTAGTACTATATTTTTCACAAGCTGATTTTGATGTGTTATTTTTGTTGCAGAAATGGATTCCTACAAATCATTATTCCCAAACTTTGAATTCTTATTTGCAGCCAGTATTATTTATGCTAAGATACTGTTGATTGATGTAGAAAATGTACTAGTTATACATGTAAAATGGTATACTTGTATTGTTGTAGCTATTCGGGATCAAATAATTAGTAGCTTATGAGCTACTACTCAATGTAAACTTTCTACTAATAGTGCAATGGTAATGTTGCTTGATAATATGTTGGCTTTGGTTTGTATTTCATTTGATTTTTTAAAACTCATGAGCCTCTAATTGCTTGTGATAAAATAAGGGCTTTGGACAAATATTGTCAAATGTCAATCTCACTAATTTTATTGTTCAAAATGTCATCTTTTATTTAAAAGATAACTATAACTAGACAATAATGAATCACATTATTTATACCTTTAATGACACAATTAAGGATTTGTGTTTTAATATATGACGTTAGACTACAATGCTAGATTATACTAGATTTGATAGTATAACAATTAATAATTTTATTTAACAATCTTATTAAAACTTGCGAGACATGCATTCTGGTTATTTTTGTTTTTATTATTTTTTATTTATGGTAATTAGATTAACTCGTATGATTCTATAATTATTTTAGTCATTTTTAAAAAATCTTGACATTTTGGAAATTAGAGTTAATGATATGATTAGAGAAATGACTCTTTTAATAGTCAGTAACTCATTAGGGAACCAAAAAAAAAAAGGAACAACTATAGAAGAAATTTTAATATATTATTTTTCTTAGTATAAAATATGTAATTAGTGTTGGAGGAATGACCTTTTAACCAATGTTTTAATAATCGACCCGAGGTGAAACTCGACAAAGTGGTTGGGTCCCAGCTTGAATGGTTGAACTAGTCCTACCGACTGGTTGGATCGGTGATGTTAGTATGTCTAAAAGTTTGAAATCTAGCAAATGCACCCCTGAGAAATTCCTTCAGTCCCTATAGGTTTAAAATCCAGCAAACACACCCCTATTATCTGGCCAAATGCAAATCGACGGTCAACTGGTTGGCAGCAAAGACACACCGAATAAAAATCACACTCATCCTTTGAGCCATTCTCTAGCAAATCTACCCAAGATTTGGTCGAAATCGAACCATTTTTCACAAAAAACACAACTGTGCGCGACAGCCAACCAGGCCAAATAGGCTTGTTTTCGGCGTAAAAAACTGACTGCACCACCACTAAAACACTCCCCTCAACCTCATGATCAAAACTCATCTCACCCCCTGTTCGCCTTGCTTATCACCGGCAATAGGCCGTTATTGTGGCCGTATGATTTTTGCCTTTTCCGATCGTTTCATCCACCAAAAATCACATTCGTTGCCACCTTTCGAGTCACAAGCACTTCCTCTCCAAAGCCCCCAATTGCCCTGCCACCATCTGCTCGTTGATAGTCGCCCTCCTCTCTAGGGTTTGCTTCCTCATGAATTTGGGGATTTAAATAGTGGACAAGGGTGACTCGGTTTGGACAAGGTCTCAAGTCCCGATTTGATCGGTTGAACCAGTAGAGTTGGGCTAGGTTTTAAAACAATGTTTTTTATTGTAAGATTAATTAGATATCATTTATCTTTTTAGTAAACCATACGTTATTTACTAATGATTATGGGTGAGCAAGAAATATGGGTAAAACTAGAACCAGAACCGGCAGATACTCGGGTTTTAGTTTTGGTTCCTACTCAAAACTCGCATGGAAAATTGGTTAGTACTGGTTCCAAATTTGGTGGAGCTGGCATTGTGCGATTCCAATTTTGGTTCCGGTTCCAGTTTTGGTTCTAGTTCCACCACTTCAGGAACCAAAATCGGAACTGGAACTGATGTTCGAGTAGCCGGGGTGGAATTGACCGATACTTGGGATGTATTTGTAATTTTTGTAAATTATTAGGGGTATCTTTGTAATTTTATAGGGTTTTTTTTGTAATTTTGGCAAATTATTGGGGGTATATTGAAATTTATAGGGTATCTTTGTCATTTTTATGAGTAGTAGGGGCTATTATAATTTTATCAGGTATCAGGAACTGGAATCGGAACCTGTTTTGTAGGTTCCGGTTCTAGCTATTGAGGAACTAGAATTGGGTTATTGTTATCAAACCTTGAGCTAGTGAAATATAGTATGCACTTACCATTTTAAAAATGTATTATATAATCCTTTATAGGGTTTTTCTTTTTTTATAAATATATTCTTAGGGATAAATGATAATTTTAAGAGGGTAAATAACAATCTAAAGAGGTATACAATACTTTAAAAAAATCATAGATGTTTGTTATGCCTGGGAAATCAAGGGCTGACATGGGAAATCACGTGATGGGGGGTGACCTGCTCCCATCAGAACAGTAAGCGCACGTCAGGCCTGCAAGACGCCGTGGAGCTCCCACGTGTCCATTCCTTGCTCCAAATCGCGTGAAATCAGCTTGGAAGGTGGGCAATGTGACGTAAAGCCGGATTTAGTCCTAACATTCACACCAACCCATGGATTTAATGATGATTATCTACACTCATCTCACTATAAAAAGGAAATACCCCTTCATTGAGGGGATTCGGCCTTTTTACACTCTGAACTAGCTTTCTCTCTCTCTTGTATCTTTGTATCTTTGTATTTATTTTTCCTAATCATTTGTAAGTCAGTCCGCTATTGCAACCTGACCCACGATTCTAATACAACTATCAGTGGACATAGGATTTGCTACCTTAGCATCCGAACCACTTTAAAAAGCTCTCATTGTTGCATTTACTCTACATTTCATCCATAATCACGTGTGTCTCTTGACCAATGAACATTACGCACGTGTCGATTAGTTGGTGTCAAAAGCATGCATCAACAGTTTGGCGTTAGAAGGAGGGCCTGATTTAGTGTTCACCCTTCATCAGGAGAATCTCTAACCTCCTGGTCCTACAGCAACAAATGGCCCGCCAATCTGAACCTGAGCAAGCCAACCAGCGCGCTGAGGGAGCTCCCCTAACCCAGGGTGTAATAGCCACTACTACTCAAACACTTATAATGAAATACATAAAAATAATATAAAGAAATTGGGCCCAAAATTTTCTTTTATTAAACATATATACATATTCTTTACAAACATATACATTTTGCACAAAATGTATAACATATACGAAAGTCATAAAAAACATAAGGGACAGTGTAACCGCTCCTTCTCGAACGCCGACATCCATCCGACAGTGTCCTCACCTAGGTTCTGCAAAACATAGGAAAACAACGGGGTGAGCACTAAAATAATGCTCAGTAAGTAAATCCTCTACTCATGCTAGCCCCGTAACTCTCTCTCTCTAATTCTTTCCTTACAACTTCTCATTCAATTTCTCTTTGGGTACTTCTTTCTTTCTCTTTCTCTTAGAACTCTTTTCTAATAACTCTCTCATAAGTCACGGCCCCATCTTACCGGAGGCACGGCCGGGACTCGCTCCCACTCTACGTGACCTCTACTCATTCTAGCCGATCGGACTCGGTTATGCATGGATTCGGAACCCTTGGCCATGTGAGTGTATAATCTCTCTCTCGGGTACTCGGGTATAGCCCTCATCCGCATGCACTCTCACGGGCTACACCACTTCTCTATCTGATACTCATGCCGCTCTCTCAATGCGGCGTACATGCGGGAATACTCTACCCATTACTCACGGGTTCCCCATCGCACAACCTACTCTATTCTCTTTCTCTTAACTCTTAAAGTAGCTTATACTCACATTCTCTACTATATCTCAAGCTACTTCTTACTGCTTAAGTGCATAAACAATTGTGTAAAGCTAGCTCATGCTCACTAATGCACTAATGAAATGCCAACTACAAGATTTCCTCAAAACCGTCATTCTGCACAGGTCACACTAAAAAGACCATAACTTTCGTTATACACCTCTGATTGCTACGGTTCTAGTCTCGTTTCAAAGCTTAGAAACAGGGCTACAACTTCTATGTTTTGGTCTCAGCCCAGTTCAATCCGTAAGATGCCCAAAAATCACTTAGAAAGTTACGGCAGTGACAGGGCAGATTTCACTTAGGCATTTCATCAAACAACTCATGTGCATAAAAACACTCTACTAAAATTACTACTATACTTCATTCTCTAGCCATCCAAAATGGGAGAAAACTCCCTCAAATACTCATAATCCCTGTCAAGAAAAGCACTCCCAAAAAGGATTACACAACATCTCTCAAACTTCATCTCAAACTCAATTCTCAATACACATATCAACAACACTTCTCATATTTAATCAATCCCAACTACTAAGACTAAGCACACATCTCATCTCAATTTTCAGTAGGTATACCATGTACATACATAATTAAAATAAGTCTCTACTCAAAGCTTAGTCATAACTCAACTTGGTTGGATTTACTTACCTTGTGCAAAGATGGGTTCCTTAGCACTTTTCCTTCCCTTTGTTGGCTTGTCTCTTCTCTACAACTCAAAACAACCACAAGGGCAGCAACAACACAATAAGACCTCACTATAAATACAAGAAAACTCACATCTAAAGCATGAATTCTTACCTTAGGAAGCTTTAGATGAAATCTCTACTCAAAACCCCTCTTAAATCCCTTAGAAATCTTGGAAAATTGGATGGAGAAATTGAGAGAATATGGGCAATGGAAGAGGCGGTGGAATGAAGATGAGTAAGGGCTTTCTCTACACTTTACTCTTTTTAGTTCATATTATAAGCTTCATTTCCCATTTTGCCCTTGTCCTTTCTTGAAAATTCCATCTATATCCTTTGATTCTTTACAACTACACCCCCATACAAACACAATCTCTACTAAATTTCCTTTCATTTTACTCCCCACTTTTCCTACTAATTAGGGGTAGAATGGTCATTGTGTCCCAAAAGAAGAATTCTCTAGAAAACTCAAGAATCTTTGTTTTAGGCTCTTCGCCGCGGCGAAGCATTTTTCGTCGCCTCGGCGAAATAGGGCAGAACCTACCCGTAATGCCACTTCTCCTCCTCGCCGCGGCGAAGCTTCTCCTTCGCCCCAGCGAAGATTGGATTTCCAACTTCACCAAAACTCAACCAATTTCAAGGCAACAATTCAACCAACTCAACATACAAACTCAATTAAAGTTGAAACAATAAACTTTTAACTAATACAACAAATCTTAAATACATACCTCAAGTGGGATATTACACAGGGGGATACCTCTTCTAGAATACTTCCAGTTCCACAAAATGCTGCGGTGGATATCCCAA